TTGACTACCACTGCAGTAGATCAACTAAACTCAAGAATGAGACTTTGCTTCATAGGTAAAAAGCAAATGGAATCAAATTTCCATGTGCACAAACAGGAAATGTCAGTCAAAATCTGAGCTGTTACAGTAGTGAAGCTCACTTTGGATCTTGGTAAATAGCTGCTTGGGTGGTTTTTGTTTTGTAACTTGTTTTCAGCAATCTTTTTGGGCTATTACACTATATGTGCTGGTTTTGCTTTGTGGATATTCATTGAACATAAATCTTCTAATATAAAAATGTTTTTTTTGTTTGGTTTTAACATAGAAACATAGTAACATAGAATGTGACGGTAGATAAGAACCATTCGGCCCATCTAGTCTGCCCAATTTTCTAAATCCTTTCATTAGTCCCTGGCCGTATCTTATAGCTAGGATAGCCTTATGCCTATCCCACGCATGCTTGAACTCCTTTACTGTGTTAACTTCTACCACTAAAGCTGGAAGGCTATTGCATGCATCCACTACCTTCTCAGTAAAGTAATACTTCCTGATATTATTTTTAAACCTTTGTCCTTCTAATTTAAGACTATGTCCTCTTGTTGTAGTAGTTTTTCTTCTTTTATATAGTCTTCTCCTTTACTGTGTTGATTCCCTTTATGTATTTAAATGTTTCTATCATATCCCCCCTGTCTCGTCTATCCTCCAAGCTATACATGTTAAGATCCTTTAACCTTTCCTGGTAACCAAGTCATTTTAACCACTATTCATAATTCTTAAGCATTAATTATTTACTAGTGTGTTCTACTGTGCAAACACAAAGCGGAAAACCATATACAATAAAGCTGTGAGCTGTCTGTTTTTCCATGTAGTATTGCTTCATTTGTCATTAAAATGCCTATTTGACCTGCGGTTTTGGCTTTTTTCATATCTTCTCTATAATCTAACACAGGGGTAGTCAACCTGGTCCCTACCGCCCACTAGTGGACGGTTTGGGATTTCAGGTGGGCAGTGGTGGGTTCTGCAGGAAACGCCCAGTGGGCTTTGATGGCCATGGACCAAGGCCGGCAGGGGAGATTCTTTCATCTACCCTGCCGACCCATGCCCCCCCTCCGTGGTAAAAGCTATGAAGAAGGGAGGGGAGACATTAAAATAGATTTTCACATCTCACCCACATACACACAGCATAAACCCTATGCACCCGTCACACACACACACAGAACCTCTGACACATACACAGCACCTTTCTCAAACACACACAGCACCCTTTTCGCACACGGCACCCTTTTCGCACACGGCACCCTTTTCGCACACGGCACCCTTTTCGCACACGGCACCCTTTTCGCACACTGCACCCTTTTCGCACCCCCCCACAGCACCCTTCACACAAACACACACACACACACACACACTGCCCCCTTCACATAAACACTGCATGCCTCACACACACACTACACCATTCACACACAGCACCTCACAGTCACACACAGAAAAAAAAGTAGAATAGAAAATAGAAAAAAAAAAGGAAAAACAATGGTAAATGTAAGCACATATTTGGAAAAAAAACCCTCCTTTCTAAAAAACAAACAAAACAAAATTGTGCTATAAAATTACTGCGGCACTGTACAAGATACAAAAGTGGGCAGTAGGTATTAAAAGGTTGACTACCCCTGATCTAACAGATGCTGTTGTTTCCTGTGTACAAATGCACCTCTTTTAGAAACATGCTCCAAGGAAATTCTTGAGTCTAGACCTGTTTTGTCAAAGAGCACTTTACTCTGTTGTAGCATATAAATAATAGCATAATAAATTAGTATATTAAACAAAGGGAAGTTGAAGATAGTTTTGCCAGTTAACATTTGTACATATTCATTGTTGCACTGCATGAGGAGCATTTGGTAGTTTTAGTGATTCTGTCACATAAACCTGTGTTAATATTCAGCTGTGCCTGTCTAGAAAACAGTCTTAATTTAGGGTGGGAAACTGAGAGATTAAATTATTTTTTTTCGTTATTTTTACTCCTTCTATCCCTCACCTCTTCTACATCAATGGGGCTGTGGGCTAATACTCAGGCCAGCTTATATATGTCTGAAGTGTGGGTTCATTTGTTTGGTTCCTCTTCCATACACTAGACCAGGGATTGCCAACCTTCAGCACTCCAAATGTTGTGGACTACATCACCCATAATGCTGGCAAAGCGTCATGGGAGGTGTAGTTTAAAACATCTGGAGTGCCAAAGGTTGCCTATCCCTGCACTAGACTTTAGACTTATGAGTAACTTGTCCGACTTTGTTATGGTCTCTTCTATTACCGCTATTAAATAAAGTTCAGTGTATACCTACAGCGCTGAACATATTCAGTAACTTCAAGCCAAAACCGACATGTACTATGCATCCTCAAACTGTTGGTGATTCAAATGAAAAAACTGAGGTCCACATAAGTATGTGAATGGAAGTATCTATCAGTTCCGTTTTCTCTGAGCAGCTCCAGTCGCAAAAATAGTAAAACACTGCATATCTTAGTAGCAGCCATACAGTTGATCGGGTAGGGTCATCTCATGGTATGGGGCAATGGAAGACTGAGGTAGGCTGCTCTTTTTCATGCTTCAAGTGGGTGGAGATATATTCCTGAGTGATGGCTTGATGTGTGCCATTAAATCCTTATATTGTTGCAAAATGTCTGCTTCTGTTTTTGTTTTTAATTATTTTTTAAATTTCATTAAATCCATCAAGCAGCAGTACTTACGGTTGGTTAGTTTCCTCCATTCCCAGACCTGGACCTGTACTTTCTGATGCAAAAAGGGTTGAATTTGAGCTCCACACCAATCACCTCCTACCAGAGCTATAAGGAGCATCTACATCTGAGGCCTCCAGTTGTGGCAACTGAAATATATGCCAAAATAGAAGAACTTATTATAGAAAAGAGGGGCTTCTTAAAAAAGCATACAGCCACCTGTGTCTTGGAAGTAGCTTCTCCATAAAGTGGCAGCATTTAAAAGAAATTACTCTACTGGTGTCAGTATGTTAAGCTTAAAGTTGAAAGTCAGAATGGCTGACATTGTGTGTCTTTTTTTTCTCTAAAATGCATTGTCCTGTAAAATGCACAAAACTATAGTTCAAACTGCTCTCTGCCAGGGTCCTAATGTATTTTCCCAGTAAACTTGAACAGTTATGATGTGCTACACTTCTTAACCATGTCTTTTTTTTTGTCTTTTGTAAAAAGGTACATTCCACCTCTGATCTGGGGCAAAAGTGGACATATCCAAACGGCTCTATATGGAAAAATGGGTCGGGTGAGCTCACCGCATCCATGTGGACTTCGCAAGTACCTTACCATGCCTGATGGAGCTACTGCAACATTTGACCTCTTTGAGCCATTGGCAGAACACTGCACTGGAGGTTGGTTCTAGAAAAAAAACCACAATTTATCACCTACTCTACCTCTAGTTTATCTAGCATTGTCAATGTTAGGACAAAATAATTTACTGTGCCATACCTGGGACATGCAGCCATGTTGCTTGTATCTGCTCTTCTACAGCCATGTTTCTCAACCCGTGGTACATGCACCATAGGCAGGAGGTAGCCAAGAGTTGGCCACCTTGGCGCACCCCAGAATGGAGGCCGCGAGGGAGCTGTAATCTGTGTGCTCTTATCCTCTGAAGTGATGCTGGGTTATGATGTAATTTTGGCCCTGGCATTACTAAACATGGAGCAGTGCTGGAAGAGCCCAGGTAAAGGATCCAATCCAGCTCTCACAAAAGTAGGGAGGTTGGGTGGACTTAAATTTAAAATAATAAAAAAATTATTTGTGTATGCGTCAAATCAGTGAGTGTGTCAGTTTCCTCTGACACACACAAATTTACACACGTGACACGGACACACATTTACACAGTGTCCTGTGTGTGTGGCAGTATCCTCTGTGTGTGAATGTCTAATGTGTCAGTTTCCTATGTGTCCGTGTCCACGATGTGTAAATATTGTGTATTATATTTTCATTTTGTGACTTTTAGACTTCAGATTAATAGTTCATAAATTCTTCTTTGCATACACAATATTCACATAATGTTATTTATAATATTCTTTACTACCTTTTAATCGGGCTGTTCTCCAATATAGGATTATCTTAAATACAAATGTGTAACATTTCATTTGGCATTTAAATCAATAGAAATTATTTTCTCGAGGAAGGGGTACTTTAAAAAAGGTATTTACATTTTGTTTATTTTTTTTTGTTTTTTGTTTTTTTAGACTTGCAGGAGTACTTCTCCATAAAACATAGGGAAACACTGTTCTACAACAGTAGATTCCGGATTGCTCTACAGCGCAAAATAAGGTCCCGCAGTCTCACACTCAGTGGCGGAGTCCTGTATCAGCCTTGATTTATTCCACAGATCTATGACTTCTCCTACAGAAGAATATCGCTGCAAACGCAGGACCCAGATGGTTTGACATCTGGACTGCGCAGTGGTGCTTCTGGCACCATAACTACTACAATAGACTGTAGTGGGTTTCCTGTTTGGAGTGCATATTTAATTCCTGCCTGTAGTCCTGTAAGACAAGTGGATAAAAACAGGAGCAGGAAAATGGTTTCTCTACAGTTTTGTGTTTACAGCCATTAAGCAAACAGAATTACATATCCACTTAATTTCCTTTGCATAATTTATTAAGGTTGTGCATTTGTTTTAACTAATTGCAACAGTGTCAGGCAAAACATAGGGAGCAAAATAAAAGCTACAACATAAGTAAAGTAAATTAAACTGTTTTATAAAAGAAATAATAATCCGTTCTAAACACGTAGAAATAACACGCGCTAGGAATGATCTTTTCTGTTAAGGCAACTTACACATTTAACGTAAGATTCCTTCCTTTTCTTTGGAGGGTTTAACCAAAATCTTTACTTTGCAAGTTCCACAAGAATGAAGAAGCAATATCAGGCAGATGCAATACCTACCTGCCAGCCCTGTCTATGGCTACATTCTGGGCAATTTATCGTGGGTATCCTCCTCACTTGCAATCACTCCACAACAAATACAAATGGCATCGTCCTGTAAAATGCACAAAACTATATATAGTTCAAACTGCTGGGTAAAAGTCAGATGGACTGCATACAGCCTATAGGCAGGCATTTTCTACCACTGTGGTCTAGTTTGAGGTTTAATATTCTCACTAGCCATTGGCAAAGGAACATTTTGCTTTGGCAAATGGAAATTTCCTCATGGTAAGTGTGCCATAGCCCATCCATGCTTGCAGTGGAGACGAACTTTCAAGGCCTGGTTAATGGTGTAGAACTTTAAATTTTAGCTTTTAATCAAGAAAATATTTTTAAGGGTTGGTGGATCAACACACAGAACCAGTCAATAACTTATTTCTTCACCTAGAAATAAAACCATGACTATATTTCATTTTGAGAATCCATAATCTGAGTTAATGACAACATTCCTACGTGGTTATTTACGGAGGTCTGAATGGGGCTAAACCATCCGCGTGTGTAGAGGACCATGCAGACTGAAAAATCCACAAATATTGTTGATGCTATTTAACAATGTCCTGGTTTTGTAACAATAAAAGGCCACTCTAAAATGTGCAGTTTTATCACACAGCACAATGCCACAGATGTTGCAAGTTTTAAAGGGAGCGTACAATTGGCATGCTGACTGCAGGAATGTCCACCAGAGCTGTTGCCCGAGAATTGAATGATAATTTCTCTACCATAAGCAGACTCCAAAGGCGTGTCAGAGAATTTGACAGTACCTCCAACCAGCCGCAGAACACGTGTAACCACACCAGCCCAGGAATTCCACACCCAGCATCTTCACCTCTAAGATTATCTGAGACCAGCCACCTGGACAGCTGCTGCAACATTTGGTTTGCATAACCAAAGAATTTCTGCACAAATTGTCAGAACCTGTCTCAGGGAAGCTCATCTGCATGCTCGGCATCCTCATCAGGGTCTCGACTGGACTGCAGTTCATCGTCGTAACCAACTTGAGTGGGCAAATGCTCACATTTGATGGCGTCTGGCACTTTGAAGAGGTGTTCTCTTCACGGATTAATCCAGTTTTTCACTGTACAGGGAAGATGGCATTGTGTGAGTGAGCGGTTTGCTGAAGTCAACATTGTGGAACGAGTGGCCCAAGGTGGCGGTGTGGTTATGGTATGGGCAGGCGCATGTTATGGACAACGAACACAGGTGGATTTTATTGGTGACATTTTGAATGCACAGAGATACAGTGATGAGATCCTGAGGCCCATTGTTGTGCTATTCATCTATGACCATCACCTCATGTTGCAGCATGATAATGTACACAATTCCTGGAAGCTGAAAACATCCCAGTTATAGCATTGCCAGCATACTTACCGGACATGTCACCCATTGAGCATGTTTGGGATGCTCTGTGTTGGTGTATACGACAGCGTGCTATAGGTCCTGCCAATATCCAGCGTCTCCGCACAGTCATTGAAGGGGAGCGGACCAACATTCCACAGGCCACAACACACAAGGAGATGTGTTGCACTGCATGAGGCAAATGGTGGTCAGACCAGATACTGACTGATTTTCAGACACCCCTCTGCCCTCCCAATACAGTAAAACTGCACATTTTAGAGTGGCCTTTGATTGTGGCCAGCCTAAGGCACGCTTGTGCAATAATCATGCTGTCTAAGCAGCATCTTGATAAGCCACACCTGTGAGGTGGATGGATTATCTCGGCAAAGGAGAAGTGCTCTGTCTAAACACAGGTTTAGACAGATTTGTGAACAATATTTAAGAGAAATAGGCCTTTTGTGTGCATAGTCTTAGCTCTTTGAGTTCAGTTTATGAAAAATGGGGGCAAAAAAGTGTTGCGTTTATCGTTTTGTTCAGTGTATAATACACTTGCCATCAGAAGTCTTTTTACTACTAATTTTTCTGTTCTAAATAAAAATCAGAAATAATAAATAACCATATTTGCAATTATTTATTTTAAAATGGGTTTTAGAGTTAATGCCCCCTTGTCGTCATCTCCCCCCCGCCCCTCAATTATTAGGTTGTGGTTTATGTGGGTGTGTTGTGTGTTTTTTTTTGTTTTTTTGTTTTTTTTTTTGTCAGATGGCTAGGGGATTGTGGACACATGTCCACCTACGGGGTGGACATAAAACTATATGTCCATGCCCTCTTATTTAATGAATTAGAGCACCCAGCAACATCCGCGAGAAGTCTCTAGGTCCCCCCCCCCTATAGTTTAATTGGGGATCCCCACCTTCTGCCAATGGGTGTCGGGAATACTTGGTCTCCCGTCCACCTGCTGACCAAGGGTGGAGATATAAGAACATAAATGTTTAGCAGATGTGCTCAGGTGGGGCATAGATATGTTTAAAACCTCCCTTTTAGTAATATGGGGGTCTTATTGCCCCCCTCCCCTTTTAATTGCTTGTTGAGGGTCTTTGATTTTCTAAAAAAAAAAAAAAAAATCTCCCTCTCTCCCTCTCTTCCTCTCTCCCTCCTCATGCATTCAGTCTGCAAACCTTTACCTCCTGTGCCAATATCATAGATCTGCAACAAAATCTGGAACAAAAAATCTAATTAATTACATTTGAACAAAATGACTAATAAACTTTTTATAACATACATTGCTTATCCCTTTCTCCTGTTTTTCTATGCAGATAATGTCACCATGGTAATTTGTCCTGGAATCGCCAATCACAGTGAGAAGCAGTATATTCGTACATTTGTTGATTACGCTCAGAAAAGTGGCTACAGATGTGCAGTGCTAAATCACCTTGGAGCTTTGCCAAATATTGAATTGACCTCTCCACGCATGTTCACTTATGGTATGGGAACTTATTATTTTAATAGAAATAAATATTCGTCTGTCTCCACTGACGTACTTGTGTGTATTAATATTCTACTGCATTATTACTTAATATATGACCTCCCGTATTCTGTAGATTTTTAAAAATGGTTCAGGGTTCACAAATTAATAGTGTGACGATCTACCTATTAAATATATCTAATCTGTCTTAATGAAACAATATTTACAAACAAATTCTTGTTGCCTAAAGTCACATCCCAGAAATGTATGCAGTGTTATTTTTTCCCTACAATTTCTTTCTGCGTACAGTACTGTCACTGCAGCTAAGGATTCTGGTTAGGAATATGTAAAATGAGGGATACAGTGGATACCCTTTACTCTTAACATGTCACTTTACACTGGTCTCTATGAAAACCTTATGTTTGAAGAACCCTTTTGAAAGCTATCCATTATTAGAGAGGACATCCTGGAATGCCTACTTATGTAATGAGAATATTGATTCTAATGAGGATCTTTAGCATGAAGTTGACATCTGGCAAAATGCATTGTGAGGCTGGTATGGTTTTTGGAGCTTACACAATCACATATCTGGTTGGCATAAAGATTTTGTTTGTTTGTTTTTGCTTTTTTGTGTGCAATGTTTTCAATTTATATATATTTTTTTCAATCACTTCCAGATTATTTTGGGGGTATGGGCCTGGTAGTTGAATGAGGATTTCCTGAACATGTTTCAGTTCATGCAAAGTGACCTACTGGTGTGTTATCAGAATCCCTAATTCAATGTCGAGGGGGAGATAAGCCAGTGTTCTGCTTTCAAAATCCTATTCATATGTAACATTCTGTATTCTGGAGCTCCTCTTTTATTTGGCTACCCCCAGTTTACATGTATGGACTTGTTCCCTTCTCATTTAAGGACCACTATAATGCCAGGAAAACATACTCGTTTTCCTGGCACTATAGTGCCCCCACCCTCAGGGTCCCCCTCCTGCCGGGCTCTGGAGAGATGAAATGGGTTAAACTTACCTTTTTTCCAGCGCTGGGCAGGGAGCTCCTCTCCGCCTCCGATCCTCCTCTTAGGCTGAATGCGCATGCGTGGCAGGAGCTGTGCGCGCATTCAGCCGGACTTATAGGAAAGCATTCATAATGCTTTCCTATGGACGCTGGCGTCTTTCAACTGTGATTTTCAGTGAGAAGCACACAAACACCTCTAGTGGCTGTCAATGAGACAGCCACTAGAGGCTTTGGAGGCTGGATTAACCCTAATATAAACATAGCAGTTTCTCTGAAACTGCTATGTTTATATTTAAAAAAAAAAAAAAGGGGTTAATCCTAGAGGGACCTGGCACCCAGACCACTTTATTAAGCTGAAGTGGTCTGGGTGCCTAGAGTGGTCCTTTAAGCATATTTGCTTAGCATATATTCTGGCACCAAGGGTAGGTACTTGTCCAACACTCTTGTCTGCACTGTATCACTGAAGTTTCCCACCAGGTGTACACACTTGTTTTATATGTTCGTCATGCTTTTTATGTAACAACTTGTATTGTATAAATAAATATACTGACTGTTGTGTTATATAAACCAGTACTGTCTTGTCCCTACACTTAGTCTTGCCTAGTGTTTTGGGTACAAGGTGGGAAGAGCTATTCATCACTTTATCCAGTGTCTAATTGATGGTTGGATATCACTGGGGAAGCTCAGGCTGCTAGGTGAGTAGCCGTTGGGGACCAGGTTGCTGCGGTTGTTCCTGGAGGTCCCTAGTGGCAGGAGAAGGGACAGACGCAGTAGCAGGCTCAGATATGGGCTCAAAGTCTGGAACCTTGGCTCTCTGTACCTGTTACAATGCAGCTTAGGAAAAGTAATACAAAATGAAATTTATTTTTTCTGATTTACAGACTACATAATATGTCTAGTATTTCAGTTTATTTTTGGTTGTTTAAAAACAGGGGTTAGGTGCAGCGCTTCAGTAATCGTTGACAAGGTTTTCTAAGTGAAAGATCTACAAGTGGTGGTGGTAAAAAAAACACGGTCCCACCTACACTCAGAGAAACACCTAATTGGACACTCCAGAGGTGTCCTGGGGCTTAACCCCTGTGCGTAGAATCAAAAAAATACTCCCACCACTGGATAGAATATCCAGTCGCTTAGAGTATAAACTGGAATAAAATTAGGAATGGAAAAACTCCTAGTAATGTTAAATACTTAATAAATAAAGAAATGATGACAGTACAACATAGATACCCATTCCTAATAGTCAGAATCCAATGGATAACAATCTTGCCTAATAGCGCCCAATGGCATACCTCCAAATGCCCTAGTCAGAAAATGTATATAAATATATCTCTATAATGCTACAGACTTTAATTGTATCTCATGAGGTCAATGTCTGAGAGCGTAGAGATTAAAGCATCCTGTCCCTGGGATAAAAAGACATATGTATGTACCTAGGGAACTGGCCAAGAGACCTAATGCTAACTATATATCTGAAAGACTATCGGTAGCTTAATGAGAGGGTCTCAAAAACAGACACACTACCTTATAAGTCTCAGAGTACAGATAGACTAATACGGTGGGTAAAAAAGACCGGCTTATGAGAACATAGCTGCAAAACGCCTCAACATAGCTAAAGATAAAACTGCTACAGTTGAATAAATAGTGCAATTTAGATATAGTGTATCTTATGGTCGCAGATTGAAATTCAAGGCTGATCCACTACAGCCCTTCGTGCCACTGTATCAGCCTTAAATATTTAACTTAACAAAGCAAGGTTAAAGATCAGTAAAGGAGGTGAAAAAGTAGAAATTAAAGCGTGTTAATGTGCAGAACCATACTTAGATTGTTGGTTGCCAGCACATGTCAATAGAGTGCCCAGTGAAAATTAAGTGACAGAAAGAAAAAGAAACCCGACCTGCGTTTCGGTGCTTCGGTAGTGCACCTTCGTCAGGGGCTAAAATCCTTGACAAGGTATATGTGAAGAGAACCAGAGAAGGAATAATAGTGTAGTATTTAAAACTGTAGTGGTGATAAGTAAGATAAAAGATGTGCACGCACACTTTCCTGGAGCTTCAATATAGCTCCAGTGTATGCGCCTATGGATCAAGTCCAGAGGCAATTCTTCAAGTTAAAGGTGTGGTAGGGGGTATCCTCATAAAAAACAAACCAATAAAAATCGTATATGGTGAAGCAAGGGTAGGTAAAAACTATAAAATAAAATGTGCACTCACGTGTAATGGAGCCATAAAACCTGGCTCCTCTGATAGCGCTTGAAGTGGTATAATCCCCACTCAAGGATACAGGTGTAAATGCAACTTCTTCCCTCCGTGTATATGTGGAGATAAACAAACAGAGCCACAATAGTGTACACCATAAAAAAGGAGTGTAAGCAGAAATAAATAATTTAAGCCTACTCACATGCTAATGAGCAAGTTCAGCTTTGCTCAATCCAAAGTGCTTGGGTGGTATGATCCCCACCAGGGATATAGCACCAAACAATCCGACAGCAGCAAAGTTAGGTCCAATTAAAAAAGTACTTTAATGTTAAAAAATATAATAAAAGAAATACAATATATAATAAAATAGTTAGAAACAATACACTTAACGCGTTTCTCCTTAGATAGGCGTTATCATTTTTTTTTTTGGTTGTTGCAGGTCACAATATATATGGAACTGAATACAATGTGGAGTGATTTTAGAATTATGTAGACAATCTCTGCAAAATATTGTAAAACTGTATTTATTTTAAAAAAATGAAATGTTTTTTTGTAAACCTGTTGCTAATCATAGTCAAAATCCAGAATTGTTTTCAGCTACATCTTCTGAATAAAACAATACCCACAACGTGTGCCTTTGCTCCTATCCTGTAAAGCAACAGTGCCGCATAAGAGACCTGACTATTTCGGCTTTTACAGTTAGAAATTTGATAGTTGTATTTGATGGGCCTATGCCTCACTGTGGCATTATAGCAGTTTGACAGTTTAAATTGTCACACAAAGACCTATGATTTGTCAATGTACACACTTCACATTATCTCATATTCACCAGTTTATGGTTAACTTAACGTTTATGATAAACAGCAAACTGTTTTGAATATAACAATACCCCTATGCATGCCACTATATTATAAAGTTACAGTGCCATATAAGAGACTATTTCGTTTTTTTATAGTTAGCATTTTATTTCCACAGCTTATTGGTCAGTCTGGGGACAGTAATTGTGGCTCCAGCTGACAGTTTTTTTTTTTTTTTTTAACCCTGCTCACACCAAGCTTTACCATCATGGGATTTGAATCTGAGTGCAGCACTCACATTGGGCACTGCATGCAGCTGATCTGACAGCATGGGGTCACAAGTTCTGTCTATCTAATAATACCTGGGGTTCCTCTGTTACCAGCCGGGACCGTTTCTTAATGCATGATGGAATTATTCTGTCGTTGGTCCTCATAGGAAAAGACACCAATGATGGAATAATTCCACCATGAGACCTTTGTCACGGTAGTTTACCCTTACACGCAGGATAGTTCAACAATCGACTGATAGAGCAGATACGACTTACCGGACCTTAGAATGGCCGGACTCGCCGTATAGCAGAGAATAGACAGAGTCAAGAACAAGCCGAGGTCAAGGGAACAAAGAGACAGCGAGAACAAAAACTGGCCAAGGTCTGGTACACAGTTGTCAGTAAGCCGGCAAACAAGACAAAACAGGGATAGAGCGATAAACGGAGTCAGATACAAAGCCAAGGTCAAGCACGAAAATCACAACTGAACACAACAAGCGCTAAAGGGAACTGAAACAGAAACCATGATAGGGCAGGGAGTTAAGGGAGAGGTAAGTATAAATACCCTAAACTTTACTTTGATTGGCCCCTGTCGTATTCACGCCCCCAAAATGTGAGTGTCTGGGGAATGTGGGATGACAGGGGCCAATGGGAGCACATTTCCACTGCCCCTTTAAGAGCGTGCCCAAGATGCGCGGCACGCTCTTAGAGATAGGCGGAACACGTGACCGCAGCTCGCGGTCTGTGCCCGCCTTCATTTGGGAGCTGCGTGCGGCGGGAAGTGAGGACTTCGGCCGGCCCCCGGGTAAGGTAAGTACCGCTACAACCTTAAAGGGTTAAACTTTTAATTGATGAACATTGAAATACGATTGGCAACGTTTAGGCAAAGATTAGCAGTTTGAATTTTAGTTCATTACAATTTTTTTTTTATTTTTTTTTTTTAAATGAATAAATGCTAAACTCTATATTGCACAAGGTCCACAATCTGCTTTTTCTTTTAATAAAGGGACGCTATAAGCACCCAGACCACATCATCTCATTGAAGTGGTCTGGGTGCACTGTCCCTGTCATTTTAGTCCTGCAGCTCCAGCGTCTTCTAAATTCCACCATCGGAAAGCATTAATTCAATAGTTTCCTATTGGGAAGGCACAATGCATGCATGGCCTTCGCTGCGCAAGTGCATTCGATTCCCCTTATTGTCTTACATCGGAGGGGGAGCCCAATCAAACACTGAAGGACCCTGTATTCCTAACACTATAGTGTGCTTGTTGTATCATCAATTCAAAAGGTTTTCTTGTTCATATGGAAAAGCTGCAATTGGGCCGAATATTTTTTTTTTTCCCAATTTTGTTTACACGTTAAACACTTTTTTGTAAAATATTAAACTCTCCCCCCACCCCCACCCTCCCGAAAATAAGCCCTAGCTTAAACCCTAGAAGTTTCCCTGATCAAAAATTTGTGGGATTCCATGCGCTAATGAACTGGACTATGTTTGGGAGGATTGCCCCAAACGTAGGCCCGCTTTCTTGCACATGCCTTCTACCATTTTTCCCTGAAGACATCCTCCGAAAATAATAAATAAAATGTCACGATTACTATATGACCCAACACATAGAACTATGTAATACACAATGAACAGGGAGAACGTATACCGGGCCGTAGAATTCCCAGACTGAACGTAAATAAAGAATGGTCAAAATACTAGCCGAGGTCAGGGACACAGAAAGACACAATAAGGAAACAAGCCAAAAGTCAAGTATACCAGAAATACGGGAAAGTCAAAATACAAGCCAAACTCAAATGCCAAAAAGAACAAGAATGGGAACACACTCTCTGTTAACCAACTAGTGGAAACCATGATCGGGCACTGACCAAATGCTATTTTGATTTTAAATAACCCTCCTAAGGATATGATTGGTTGTACATAGCCTTTGACCCCAAAACGTGCATGTGCGTCGTTTGCGTGACGCCACACGCAAATCAGCACCCTCTTTGTTGAGGACGGAGACGGGGCTTCATAGTTGCTTGGGACCGCAGCGGCCAGCGTTCATTAGAAAACTGCACCAGTCGGGGATCGCTCCTAGAGGGTGCTGTATGGCAAGCTGATTTGCCTTAGGTACATTTTTATTTCTTTTAACAGCATGACAGCATCGATCGGATGCGGTCACGCTGTATGGAGGCGCTGGGGAAGTGACACCCTAGTATGTTTATATTTATTTTTTTAGCAAAAATTTATATAAGACCTGGTCTTATTTTCAGAGTAAAACGGTATTTGAACAAATCTATATTCTGCTACCCCATAGTTTCATTCCTTCCTTTCCCCCCGCTGCTCAATTTTTGTTTTTTGTCTTCTCTTACGTGGCTTCTCTTTTTTCTAGGCTGCACTTGGGAATTTAGCGCAATGGTCAACTTTATTAAGAAGACATTCCCTCAGAGCAAGTTGATTGTGGTAGGATTCAGCCTTGGAGGCAACATTGTATGTAAATACCTTGGAGAAACTGCAGCCAATCAGGAGAGAGTAATCTGCGCTGTTAGTGTTTGCCAAGGATATAGTGCTTCCCGGTAAGTGCTCCCATGGACATAGTGTGTGGTGGTTATTTGTTTTGCAGGCATGCGAGAAGTAATCTACCAGAACCTTAGTATTTTACAGAAAAAAAGTAAGTGTAATTTCATCAGCTGAAAGATATTCGATATTAAATGCAATATTTAGTGTTTACTACATGGCAACATTTGTGCTGATAGCAAGTCCGTCAGATTCTTGTAAGGCTGATTTTTGTATAGTTAGTTTATTCATGTTAAGAAGCATGGCTTCATTTTAAATCAAGCACAATGTGATTTAAACCTTGTTACTGTGTTAAGGAGATTTCAGCCAAGCAGGAATTGTACATCTAAAGTTCTCTACTCCCCCTTGTGGCAGTTCTTCTGTTGCTCTTTTATATTGACTGTTAGTCAATCAATGTGTATTGACTTAATGAGAGTTAAAAAAACAAATCGGTTTATTAAACTGCTTGTTATCATTGGGATCAGTAAATCAGCTGATCCCCTGCAGGTAGGACTTTCCATGTTGGGGGATTGGGAACTTGCTGCTGATCAAAAACAAATCTGATCTTTTAATGATATTGCTTGACATTTGTTATATTCTACATCTTATCCTCCTAGTTGCATTTGTGTTCAAGTTTGGAAATTCCTGGGAACAACTGGTAGCATGAATGAATAAAAAATGGAACTGGTCTTTTAAATACATAGTAGATTTTAACATTGCAACATAAAAGATAAAAAGGCTGGAGATCGTGACTGCAATATTTATAGGACATTGAAGAGAGAATTTGACTATTTAAGGAACACTCCAAATAAAGAAATACATTTACATCTAACGTTGGAATGTTGGTTTTAGTTGAGATTTAGGGCCCCCCAAAATATGTCACTTGCCTGTAATCTAGCAGTCAGTATTCTCTCTGCAACTTTGCTTCAGCTCAAGGAAACCATTTCTAATGGTAATCTCCTGGCCATTCTAGGGCTTTACATAGAGAAGCATTGGGATACCCGGTGTATTAGAGATCATCACCACAATCTGCCAGCATTGCTTCTTAGGGAAGCATTGAAACCAGTTCATCTTTATGGGAAGCCCTCACTTCTGCTTTGAGAGCAAGTGAGGAAGGTAAGCATCCCATCGGTCTGGTTGATGGGCAGGTGTTACCAAGGGAGTTTGTAAGATTGCTGATTTCTCTTTAAATTGCCTTGAAAGGGACACTAAAGGTACCCAGACAACCACAGCTCGTTGCAGTGATCTGGGTGCACTGTCCTAGATCCCTTAAACCTGCAAAGGTCATTATTGCATTTTTATTTTTTTTTTAAAGAAACTGTTATAATTTCCCTTATGGGTTAACTTAACCTCTAGTGACTGTCTAGCAGACCAGACTTTTGGCTGCCTAACTGACGCTGGACGTCCTCACGCTGTGCATGGGAGCGTTCAGCGTCACACAAAATCCAATTCGAAAGCACTGTATTGCCATTGCCGCGAATGCGCATTAGATCTCCCCCGTTGGCTGACGTTGGCAGGGGAGGAGCGAAGGAGGACATCGTTGCTGGACACAGGTAAGTGACAGAAGTGGAGGATGAATCTATAGTGCCAAGAAAACAAGTTTGCTCTCCTGGCACTATAGATGAACAAATTACGTTGCAGCTTGAAGTTAATGAGTAGTTGGTTTGTGTTGTGTTGTGTTTGTACATCCTGCAAGAAAATTAATAATGAGGCAAAAGAACAATAACTCGAGCACCAGTGAGATGGGGGAAAATAAAAAACACAGGTTAAAGGCAGAGATAACACCAAAACGAGAACACGAGTGACGGTAAGGACCAGCAAACCCTACTTAATCAAGCGCTTCACAGACTATTAAAGTAGGGGAACATGAGGGCCTAGGTTGGTAATGGCACATGTACTGCAGTTGGAAGGACATTACAACCAGGGAACTCTGTCAGCGTTTGTTTTTTGGGGCGAGGATAGGAGGGGTTTGTGGCTTGCATATTGGAACACATAAGAAATAACAAAGTAGTTTGAAAGACAAATGACAAAATCTGTAAGCTTTCTAAAAAAAATTTAAAAAAATGAATTAAACCATAAAAAGTCACATTTATTTTATTTTTCTGCTGCAGAATTTGGAAAACTCAATAGAGAAATGATATATATAGATCTATATATATTATATTTACGTGTACAATGTTACACCTTTGTACCCAACCGTGAATTTCTCTTGATCTAAAATACAACACAAATGATTAGTTTCCTTTTGTCAAGCTTTAGCATTTTCAGGATTGGATTTTTGTTTCAAAGGCCACGATAGCTGAGTTTGACCACTTTGAATAGAGCCTGAAAAAGAAAACGGACTGATAAAACACAGTAATCCTCCGATTCTAAATAGAAAAACAACCAAGGGGCCAAATATCTCCATTTATATTTATCTAGTAATTCATTTTTTTTTTTTTTTTAATTTGTTTTACATATTTACAGACAAAACATTCAGGATTAACAATTATTGGTACATGGAAGGGTTGAACTTAGTGTATCGTGCGTGTAATTACGTGAATATAATCTGGTGTCCCATAGAAACCAAATTATATTATACCTTATGTGCATGCTTCTTTTAACTTTGCTTTGTTGTTTAAAACAACTGCTTTTGTAAGATTATTTTTGTAGAGAAAACTTGAAAATATCCTTTTGAGATCCTAAGAAATATCAGGAGCTGCAGTTAACCTGTATTTGGTATGGGTACTTTGACGTGAATTAAGGTTAAAGCAATGCTTTTTGTTCTGGGATGTTAAGCGCCTACATGTTTTTGTAGCTTAAGGCCATTCTGTTACCAAGTATTCATTTTTAACAGCTCACTGACTCCTTGTTATTTGTGGCTCTTTTGACAGGGCACAGGAAACCTTTATGCAGTGGGATCAATGCCGAAGGTTTTACAACTTCCTCATGGCAGACAACATGAAGAAAATCATCCTTTCACATAGGTAACGCACTAGAGCTTTTTTGTTTTTTTTTTCTTTTTAATTTATATAAGCAATTAATCTGGTCAAGTCAATTAGTTGGATTCAAATAAAAAGTGTATGTAGACACCAAATAGTAATTGGATTTTTTTTGAAGCTGTAATGTATGTAGGTGCCAAATACATCCCAGGGATCTAAAATGAATCAGGATGATTATTATTTTATTATTTATATATAGTGCCATCAGATTCCGTTGTGCTGTACAATGGATGGACTAACAGACATGTAATTGTAACCAGACAACTGAGCGTACAGGAACAGAGTGGTGGAGGGCACTGCTCAATGAGCTTACATTCTAGAGGGAGTGTTGTATTATCAAACTTAATTATTTTTTTTTTTAACCTCTTCGATTGACTAATTTGTAGACATAAGAGTAAAATTAGAGGAACACTGTAAGCACCATAACCACTTCAACTGATTAAAGTGGTTATGGTGTCTGAAATAAATAGGAGCTAGGTCCTGCATAACTGCTAACTGTTTGCTCCTGTTTAGTAGAGATGCTTGCTCCCCTGCATCCTGCATTACAATATGGTGGAGGCATTGTTTTGCCCTGCCGCAGGCTATACCATTTAAGGCTCATTCCTTTTGATCAGCCTGCCTGCCTACCTCTGTGACACGTCCCCTAGTCTTCAATCCTTTAAGAAGTCCCTCAAAACCCATCTTTTCAGATTGCTTATGGCCTCCAAGAGTAACTTCTATCTCTCAAACCTTCCTCTTGCTCTCTCTTAAAGGGCCACACTCAACTCTCACCTCCAGTTTTGCTACTTTCCCACCATGTCTATTTGCTGTCTCCCTCAATACCCTTCCTATTGTGTTTTTATATCACACCTCCTCTAGACTGTAAGCTCGTTTGAGCAGGGCCCTCAACTACCTGTTCCGGTTACATTTTGTTGTTGACTCATTTGGTAAATTCCCCCTTTATTGTAAAGTGCTGCGGAATAAGCTGGCGCTATATAAATACCAATAATAATTATTAGAATAATTTCCGAAATAGTCATTGTGATTAAGTGAGAGCACTTTCAATGCCCCAATACCTGATGGAAATTAATATAGTGTGAGGTAAAACCACCATATCATAAATATGGGGAGGAGGGGGATCATTAATGTGTGGGGGTGCTAGGCTGCAGGAGATAAAGCATCTCTGCAATGCAAGGATTCAAACTGTTTTAACAATGGATTGGTTTAAATTTTTACCTGGGGTCCACCAGATGATGCTTCCACCTCCACTTTGCCAGAAGGAGAGCTGGATGCTTAGGAGCTTCTGTTAGCGCTCCTGAGTAAAGTCTTGTACTGCTAGTCCTAACTCAACGAAGAGCGCTTCCAGCAGAGAGGAGGAAACTGCAACTGGCAGAGTCAAAGTAAGAAATCAAATCCACTGCTTTACTCCTCACATTGGTGTTGGAGGAGGTCACACAAGAGCATTCCTGGCACCATAACCACTTCATTTTTTTAAACATGGTTTCTATAATATGTTGCTGTATCAAATTATTGTCCAGATAAAATGCTTTTATGTTTGTACGATGAGGAGACATAAAGGGCATGTTTGTTCAATGTTGAGAATAAGGAAGCACATCATATCAGAGGATGCTAATTACATCTGCAACAGTATACATGTTCTACTGGAGTTTGTGATAGTGTGTTCTTTTTGGAAGGTCTACTTCAAATGAACAGATTATATTCTTAAAAAGATCAAGCGGTTATGTGAAGATAACTCTGCACCATGGTATCTGTATCCATTTATGGTTCTGTACATTTTTTTGTATCCAGAGGAGTGTTGAAAGAGATGGAAGCAATATTCACAAATGCATGCAATGGGTAAAACTATGAAGGATTTATAACTTGGAACTGATTCATTCTTTTATACAGCTTGATTCTGCAACACATACATTCTCATGTGTTTAAGAAATGTCTTCCTCTTTTTAACCAGACAAGCTCTCTTTGGTGACAACAACAAAAACAATCAAGCTTTTGAAGACTCTGTGTTGAGTCGACTTTATACAGCAACATCTCTCATGCAGATTGATGACGTTGTAATGAGGTAAGAATATGCATTCTGGTCTACACAATCTGTAAATTGATTGCTTTCTTAATCTGGTGATAGTTGAAGACGTGTCATAATATGCCATTTGGAGGTCAGTTTCATTCCACTGTGAAAGGTGAAGACCTTTACGTCTACCCTTTCACACTTGCCTTCTCCTTAGTCCTTGTTCTTGTACTGACTAATTACCAGAACCTTTATAATTATGAATTGTAACATAGCAGTCACTTAGCTAGAAATAGCCACAGATGTCCTACAGGTTAATCTTCTGTATCAGCAGTGTGAGTGAAACCATGAATGAATTGGTGTTTCCTCCTCTTCTCGTGGAATGGACTTCCAACTTTGCCCAGGTGCTAACACAGTGAAAATTTAAAGGATCACTGTAGGGTCAGGAATACAAACATGTATTCCTGACCCTATATTGTTAACACCACCATCTAGCCCCCCTGGACTTCTCATGCCTCTGTAACGGCACCCTCAGGCATAAAAGGGTTAAACCGCCGTTTAGAAGATCTTCCCCTTCCAGAGATACAGGCACCGCTACTGCAGAACACCAAACTCCTGAACCGCATATAAGGGAATGCTCTAAACTCCCGAACTGGATACAAAATAGCACTCCAAACTCCCGAACTGGAACCTCACAAATAGCTGCTAGCAGACGAATAGGAAAAGCACCCAAGCGGCTTACACTCGTGGCAATCAGTCTCTAACAGCATACAGTAACTCCCCCCCCAAGAACGAGACAAAACTCCGTGTTGAGGGTCAAGCAGTGAACAGACAGAGCTGTGGGTTTATTGTTCTAATATACACATTCGTACCACCCACAGGGCTTTGGAAAACAACCAATAAACACATACAATACACTCAGACACTCCCACACAAAATCATCCCCTCTGCCTGTGATATAATTACCTTACACGAAAAGACAGTAAAATACACAAGGTTACATTTATTACATAAAATACAGACATGCAACATAGCCCCAGATAGCTTAGGTCTGAGCACACATTATTACTGAATGGCGCTCAGACCACACACATACAGTTCAATTGCCATGGAGCCAAAGTCTTTCCCATAGTCTTTCGTTATACGAATGGGCTCCATGGCATAGCTATCTGGGGTATCACCGCTCAAACAGGGCAAGCACCGAATGACCCGGCTTTCATGTCTTTGCAGGGGAAAAATCAAGCGTTTCAACATGGGGCCATAGTCTAAAGGCAGCAGGCGGGCAACCAGGCTCCTCCAATGCACAGTGGCAAGATTGGTCTCGTCACAGCCTCCATAAATATAGCAAAATCTTACTGTATTCAAGCTTGAAGCTGTAACTCTGCATGGTGTTTCCCTCAGAAAAACAAGCTGTCTGCTGACATCATCAGAAGTGGTAGCCTGATCCAATCACAATGCTTCTCCATAGGATTGGCTGAGACTGACAAGGAGGCAGATTAGGGGCAGAGCCTGCATGATTCAAACACAGCCCTGGCCAACCAGTATCTCCTCATAGAGATGAATTGAATCAATGAATTTATATGAGGAAAGTTCAGTGTCTGCATGCAGACGGAGGAGACACTGAATGTTTGGATGCATTTAAGGCAGCAATGACCCAGGAAGGATCTCTAACAGCCATCTGAGGAGTGGCCAGTGAGGTTATCACTAGGCTGTAATGTAAACACTGCATTTTCTCTGAAAAGACAGTGTTTACAGCAAAAAGCCTGAAGGTAACGATTCTACTCACCAGAACAAATTCAATAAACTGTAGTTGTTTTGGTGACTGTAGTGTCCCTTTAACATCTGTAAGGTTAAAAACAAAATGTGGAAATAATAATAAAATATATTAAAATATACATACAATGTTTTTTTAATATGTTTATTTTTAATAGATTCAGCTAACTTCCCTTTTCAAAAATTTCAAGTAAAAGCCAAAACAATAAATTCACATTTATTCCAGCACCAAGATGATCTTCTCTTGGAAGTCGCTCCATCCTATATCTTGCTTTATGATTTCTTTCCAATCTACCACATCTCATAGAGAAGCAATTGGATGTGAAAGTACTTGTCTATGAGAAACATTAACTGCATTCAGCGTCATAAGGCTGCATGTAATGACATAAAAAATTAAGTAGTTTGTCTTTCAAAGCTCTTTACTAGAGCAGTGGTTTAGGCAAAATGTAAACATTCCACCTTCTTAGAAACAGCAATGCTTTACGTTGCGTGACAAAAAGTCTATGCACCAAAATCGCTTCAGTAAGGTGAAGTGGTTTTGGTGCTTGGGTGTCCCTTTGAGTGCATTTGAGGTTTTTGACCAATTATACATGCTGTTTTTATCCACATCATTGAGAAATTGACAAAAAAAAATGTTTGCAGCTTTTTACAGAATAGTGAAGCTTTAGTCTCGCATTCCCTTTTCACAAAAGCAACTTCCTTTTAGTGTAGTAAAAAAGTGTAGTACATGCTCAGCTCTGCAAATGAAAGATGTGTGACCGGAGTTGCTGACAACATTGCTCCACCCCAGGAAGATATTTTGTGAAAAGGGGAGATGGGTAAGGAGGTGGAAGTTTGTGTTGGCATTTTTAGTTGTGTTTTTTTTTATTTGTTTGATTTTTTTTGAACAAGAGGAAAATACAGTATGATTTTGTGGCCAAAAGCAAACTAAATAGCAGTTAAGTTGGATCGATTCCCAGGTTGTTCATATAAGCTTATAATATGTCCACAGTGCATGTAGGAAAAATTTACGAATGGCACCCAAAGATTCCTGCATCAGAACCACTTCAATAAAGTGCTTAAAACATCATTTTTAATTTTTGGGACTTAAGTCAATCATACATAGACTAAATGGGAATTCAAAAATAGATTTAACATGTTTAAAAATTATGTTGTACTATTCAGCATTTGTTTAATATTTTTTAAATAATTGTTTGAAAGTTTGATTTGCAATCCACATAAAAATGCACAATTGAGGATTGTTTGCTTTAGTGTACTAATAATTTTAATAATGACAGGAGGCGAGTATTTTACGTAATCTTTCTTTACAAACTCCATAGCAGCAAAGAAAAGTAATGAGAAAACTGAAAACCAATCGCAAGCATAGGTTATAAGAGGCATGTCTCACTGTGACATCACAAGTCCATTAAAGGACCACTCTAGGCACCCAGACCACTTCAGCTTAATGAAGTGGTCTGGGTGCCAGGTCCTTCTAGGGTTAACCCATTTTTTTATAAACATAGCAGTTTCAGAGAAACTGCTGCTTTTTGCTGTAAACACTGTCTTTTCAGAGAAACTGCTATGTTTATGAATGGGTTAAGCCTTCCCCCTAATCCTCTAGTGGCTGTCTCATTGACAGCCACTAGAGGCGCTTGCGTGCTTCTCACTGTGATTTTTCACAGTGAGAGCACGCCAGCGTCCATAGGAACGCATTGTAAATGCTTTCCTATGCGACTGGCTGAATGCGCGCGCATCCAGCCCAGGAGGAGGAACGGAGGAGGAGAGAAGGAGAGCTCTCCGCCCAGCGCAGGAAAAAAGGTAAGTTTAAACCCCCTTTCCCCCTTCCAGAGCCGAGCGGGAGGGGGACCCTGAGGGTTGGGGCACCCTCAGGGCACTATAGTGCCAGGAAAATTAGTATGTTTTCCTGGCACTATAGTGGTCCTTTAAACAACTAAACCATAGAAGAACACGATGTGGTAAACTTTAAACATGAACAGGGTGAACAAGGTCCAAACGAAGAGACGTTATGGATTCAACTATATGTTCCAATTAAAATGACGAGGAAGATCCCATCGAAGAAACGCTTTGGGTTCAACTGTGGGTTCCAATTAAACAGAAAAGAGAATAAAGAGTTTTGGTCTCCAAAAAAGGCTGTATAAAAATGTATACCCTGACTGTCTATACTACGTATAATACATATAGTACGATCCTGTCCTCTCCTAGCTAGTGTAACTAACTAAAACAAACTCCCGTACAAAGTGACAACCTCCCAAGGGGAAAAAACAACATTAGTGTAGGCAATACAAAGTATGGACACCACATAAAGGAAAACCATAAGCAAGGTAATCAAAAACAAAGGGAGGGAAATAGTCAGTCAGAGAAACGACGAAGGGTTTGGGGGTGGGAGGAATACTTGCCTCTTGTCATCATTAAGATTAAAGCTAACATAATCCTCAATTTTACCACATGACAGGAGGCTTCATATTTTGCAATTTCAACGCTGAGATAAAAGAGCAAAAGCTGGATTTGACAGAGTTTGGAAATAGAACGTCCGAAAAGTAGATTCTCTCGTCCAATCCGCAGCCCGTAGAATGTCTGGAAGTGAGGCCCCTGACGAGAAGGCAGAGTGTGCTCCAAAGGTCTGATCAATTCCAGCTAGAGAAAGCAGCCAACTTTGTGACCAAAAATGGACCATATGCGCGAACGTAAGAGACGAGAAGTTGACGAGAGGAAGGTGACCGCAACGTTGCGGTAGCCTTCACATAGCAACATAGAGTGGAGACCTCACAAAGCTGTGGATCTAAAGGAAAGAAGGAATAGAAAACTAAGGAAGAGTTAGATTTGGTGCGGGGTAAAACTTGAAAGGTAACCCCCACCGGGCAAAAGGTAAACGCATCAGCGTCGAAAGGATACCAAGCAGAGGAGAAAAATGAATTTGGCTGTTAGCTGGCAGTCACAATTTATCGTTCTGAGGCGAATCTTGCAAAAATTGCAAAACTATACCGTCGTCCCAGAGACGTGTATATTTGGTCTCCGGAGAGCGGCGAAGACGCATGCCCCGAAGAAGTCTGCAAATGAAGGTATTTCCCAACTGGGATCCTTTGGAGTGAAATGTGAACTGCTGAAATTAGCGACCGTACCACGTTAATGGACCGATACGATTTCCCAGCTGCAAACAGAGGCGAAAAAATTTAGGATAGAGGGAACAAATGCAGTAAAGGGATCGAGGTCCCATCTCAAACACCAATTGGCCCAAGATTGCCACGCAGATAGGAAATATCTCCTAGTTTCCGGTGCCCAGGAGTCCCATAGGAGATCCATAGCTTACTGCAATAAGTCTCAGACTCGCCAGGAACCCCCAGAAAGTGTCCAGGCTACCAGAAGTAGGCGACCTTCCACGACTAGAGGATAGGGCTGTCCCATCGGGTTCCTGAGGATCTTTGGGTCGGATGGCAGGAGGAGGGGATCTCTGCATGATAGTTCTAAAAGTTCCTATGGGACTCCCGAGTACCAGGGTTGGCTCTGCCATAACTGCGTTAGGAGCATTGGTGCCACTCTCTGCAATTGGATCCGGTGAAGGAATCTCGCTATCATTGCAAAGGGTGGGAAAGCATAGGATTCACGCTGTGGCTACGGTGGCAGAAATGCATCCACTGCTAGGCCCTCCGTGTCTGGTAGCCAACCGAAGAAGTCTTTGGCTGTCTGTTGTTGCGTAAGGCGAAGAGGTCGAGGGAGAAAGGACATCTTCATTTGTTCAGAGAAGCAAAAATGGGAGGGTCCAGCTGCAAGTCGCTGCCGTCTTGCCAGTGGCGTGAATACCAAACTGCTGTGAGGTTGGATTCTCCCTGCAGATGCTCTGCTAGTAGCGTAATGTTGCGGGGTAGGCAGTAGTTGAAAATCTCTTTCGTGAGTTCTGAAGCAGGATGCAACAATTGGATTTTCCTTTCGCCAGACTGCGGAGGGCAAATGACCCTGCTAGGAGCTCCAAGCAGTTTATGTGCATCAATAGTTCTTCGTAGGTCCATACTCATCCCGTGGACTTGTCGCTCTCCAACCTAATCGGCTGGCATCTGATTTCAGCATGAAGTCTGGTTGGCTTCCGAATATGGCTCTACAGTTCCAGGCCTGCATACAGTTCAGCCACCAATGTAGTTCCGCCCGGACGTCGTCCGATATCGAGACTGGTTGATCGGACGCTGGGTTTTGACGTAGGAATCTGGTCTTGAGACGTTGCACGGCCCTGTAGTGCAAGGATCCCGGGAATATAGCCTGTATGGACGAAGACAGAAGACCTACTATCTGTTCCAGTAGGTGCAGGTATGTTTGTATACCACGTGGGTGTTCAGATCCCTGAGGTTGATAACCGGGCAAAATTCTCCAGTCTTCTTCCTGACCAGGAAAATGTTGCTGAAGAATCCGGTTAAATCTGGGGCAGGTTGAATAGCACCCTTGGCACACAGTTCCTGTAGCTCGGAATCTATCAGGCGAGCTATATACATAAACACCACTTTGTGTGAAAACTAAGTTTAGATAATAATCCCCTTAATGTGCACACAGTGGAATAGTGCAGCGCTATGCAAAAGGCTTACCCATACAGTATGGGGCGTTTCTCATATGTAACCGGAAAAAACAAAAAGTAGAGAAATACGTGATAGTGCAATATTGTTATAGACCATTGGTATATACACTAAAAATTAGAGAAATTTATGCTCACAAATCAAGAGCCTTTTAGACGCTATGGCTCTGAATGTATGTGCTTGCTGTGCCTTTAAGGTAGCGACAGTAACCTTTTGTTTGTCCCCTTCACTGGTTCAGGTGGAGTAGGTGTACATGGAAAACATAACCAGGCAGCAAAACATAGTGCAGATGTTTGAAAAAGAAGATGAAAGTTGCTCACCTGGTACTGGAGCCAGTCACTTATGGGCTCCAGTACCAGGTGAGCAAGTTTCATCTTATTTTTCAAGTGGTAATCCACAAAGTTTATTACCATCTGCACTATGTTTTTTTGTCTGGTAGAATTGGACAAGAGCACTCCGACCTCATGCGTTTCCTCACCTCTTTGTCCAGGGATTTTCTGAGTTGGGGAGGGGGGAGTAGGGAGATCCATTCCTCAGAGCAGGGATGACGTATTTTCCTGGGGTCAAACATCCTGAGGCCAGAGGTGTCCAGGAATACCTCCGATTCATCTTGTGGAGCATGCATGGTCGTGGCCATATAACCCTGGGGCTCACCCAGGTATGTATCCCTTGTAAGGAACGGGTCAGAGTTGGGGGCAGAGTCCCAGTCACTCTCCTCCGGCTCGGATTCCTCCGCCTGCTGTTCATCTAGCACCTAAAGTGCTTGGGCTGGTCCCGCGTCCTCCTCCTCTGAGGACATCTGTGCAGGCCTGTGGGCTGTACAAGTCATGGTCTTTTTGCGTTTGGCAGGGGCCTTGCCTTTGGATTTCCTGGTTTTCGCCTTTCCAGTGGCGTTTGGGAGGTCGTGACCATTCTCTGGAGGAGTCAAAGTCCTCCGAATTTGCCACATAATGGGCCCGTTTGGGAATGGGCTTGGCAGTGTCGTGTTCCGCCTGAAAGTCTTGGAAAAGGCCTTCTCCGTAGAGGCAGCAACCGCTGCTGTGGTCATGGCCTGCAAGTCTGATGGGGTCTGTGTCTCTTCCATGGTGACTTGCTACAATCACCCGAGGCTCACCCGGTGATATTGGCATGGGACAGTAGTGTAGTGGCACGGAGGGTAAGAGAGGCCTGGGGACCAGGGGGTGGTATGGAAACAGGTACCGGAGGACCTGTACTAATTGTGGCCTTTAAGCTGGTACAAGCAGATGGAGAAGGTATGTAATAACTGGGGCTCACCCAGGAGTTCGGAATCTTGCATGAACCGGTCCGTTCAGCAGCACATAAATGGGGGCTCACTCCGACCAGAGTAAGGGATAAACCCAACTGGCTTGAACCAACCCCTAGTGCAGAGCACTAACCTGGACCTGAGAGTGAGTGCGGAAATAGGCTCTGAGCAGTAATGCTTGAAAGGGCACAGCTGAATGAAGCTCCGTAGGCACATCAAGATAGCCGCCGGACTGCACGTCCATGAAAAACGTTGGAAACCAAGCACCTCCCTGAAATGCGAGAGGGGATGGAGTCCGTGCGAACAAAATAGCCGACCGCGAGAGCCTAGAACCTGGCGTTTGCGGCTAACTTGTTAGACGAACGCGCCTCTTGCGTACGAACGCCTGGACGCAGGCTTTTATAAGAGAGTGGCTGTTCTGTTCCCGAAGTGGTTAGTTTGGCGGGAAAAACCACCAAATGGGGCAAAAGACCCGCACAAAACAGGGGAAAAGGGGAGCCCCGCAGCGCGAGAGCACAAAACCGGGACCCAGAATAGGCAGGGTCCCCCAAAGAAACAGGCAGGCAAAAGGGTCAGCAGGAGAGCATCAAGGACCCCAAGAACAGAAAGGGAGATCCCTAGGTGAAACAGGTAGGGATATGAAAGACCTCAGAAGGGAATGGTCAGAAAAAGTGTAATAAACAGCAATATTCTAAAGACAAATAAGTAAAGGAGAAAACAAACGTAGAGTAAAGGACAGAGAGAGAATAACCAAAACTCTGTACTTATCTTGTGATGGAGTAGCAAAGAAAGAGGAATTGCTACAGTAAGACATGCCTCTTATAACCTTTGCTTGCTTGTGATTGGTTCTCAGTTTTCTCATTACTTTTCTTTGCTGCTATGGAGTTAGTAAAAAAGATTATGCAAAATATGAAGCTTCCTGTCATGTGGTACAATTCTATAAACGCGCGCGCACACACGTTGTAACCTTAGTAACAATTTTCCTCATGACTATTGTATCACTAACTTGATTTGCTCAGAAATTAGTGCAGATTTGTTACATTTTTGTTTTTTTCTTCTTACCATTTTTAGAAAATTCCATGGTTACCAGTCTCTCAAGGAGTATTATGAAGCAGAAAGCTGTGTTCGTTATCTAGCCAATGTAAGTTAATACCAAGAATAAAAAGGGAAACATGCGGAACATGTTTTATGTATACAATCATATATTATATTATATTTTTTTATATATATATATATTTCTAAATTTTAATATAATTTAACTTCTAATTTAAATTTTAATCTAAATTAACTTGTGTGCGGTTCTTTTTTTTTTTTTTATATAATATATCTTAATTTTTAGATGTTTTCTTCCTCCAATATATCTCTTTCAGATCCATGTTCCCCTCATGCTGGTTAACGCAGTGGATGATCCACTAGTGCACGAAAGTTTGTTATCCATTCCAAAGTCACTTGCTGGTTCGTATACTTCAGTGTAATCTTTACTATTCCACAGTGGCAATATGTACGTAGTCTCAACAATATTCTATTCTTGTCCAATCTGTCAGTGTTATACTAAGTACATTGGGTTGTCTGTATTATAGTGCACATTTGTTCAACCAAGCTAGTCTTGTAAAAGCATTATTTACGATGTTGTTAAGGAAACAGTCCTTGTCTCTGTCAAATTTCATAATTTACTGAGCATTTTTTTCTGGAGCCACTAGAGCAGGCATAGGCAACCTTTGGCACTCCAGATGTTTTGGACTACACCTCCCATGATGCTTTGTCAGTATTTTGAGTGTAAAAGCATTATGGGGGATGTAGTCCACAACATCTGGAGTGCTGAAGGTGGCATATCCCTGCACTAGAGTATTGTGTTAGGGACTCAAAGACTGCAATGTGTTTGTCTACTATTATGCAAATTATGTGTTTTATAATGTAAATGAATTACAACTCGTAATGAGCTCTCAACATCATCTGCATCAGTTATTCATTAGATGCCGTTCCACATTGTATGAGTGCTGTAGAGTATATTGGAACTATTTTTTTTTATGCACTGATTTCTCATTGCGTTTTTCTTTCCTTCATCTTAACAGGTAAGAAAGAAAATGTCATGGTGGTACTGCCTCTACACGGAGGGCACCTGGGCTTCTTTGAAGGAGCTGTGCTTTTCCCAGAGCCATTAACCTGGATGGACAAACTTCTGGTGCAGTACGCTAATGCCATCTGTCAATGGGGGAAGAACAAATCTCAGTGTTCCCAGGTGGAACAAGCAGAAACTGAGGACAAGTAAATTAAGCACTTTGGTCATCTCCTCAAAGACTCTTGCCTACAAATCTTCCTCCTCCACACAGTTTCTTAAAATGAATTTTCTAGCTACTGTATGTTTAACTGGGTCTGCCTATATCAACTCTACAGTAGATCTACCAGGGAAGAGGCCATTTTTCCACTGTGAGCCTTTTCAGTTCATGTATTTTTTCATTTGTTTTTTTACTGCAGTGCTTTCTTATAGACTACTAGATTTATGCTGTTTTCAGGAACTGCAGGTTTATCACTTACATTTCCATATATATTTTGTCAAAGTATATTGAAATGTGCAGGTGTAATCTAGTTTAGTGGGAGGGAAAAAAAATTCCTCATTTTTGTGAGAAACCATGAACTATGCCAGTAATTTTTCTGGGTGAGTCTTTGTACGTTAAATGACCATTTATATAAAAGTATGAGATGCATTATCATCACTCATTGCACTAAAAGACCTTAGCACTTATATGCAAAAGGTTATGTTTAAGTGAGATTAGTTAACTTCTGGTTTGGTAAGCATTTTTAGCGTCTTCTCTATAGTTCTCATCAAACTGAATTTAAAGGGACACTATAGGCACCAAAACAAATTTAGCTTAACCCCTTAAGGACACATGACATGTGTGACATGTCATGATTCCCTTTTATTTCAGCAGTTTGGTCCTTAAGGGGTTAATGAAGCAGTTTTGTGTATGTATCATGCCCCTGCAGTCCACTGCTCAATTATCTGCTATTTAGGAGTTAAATCACTTAGTTGATACAGCCCTAGCCACACCTCCCTGCATGTGACTTACACAGCCTTCCTAAACACTTCCTGATTGAAAGTGAAACCATTTTTGATGCAGGCTATGAGAGTCACAGCCTAAGCTAAAGTTGTTTGAGTGTGTATAATATCCCTTTAAGCATTCAAAAACTAGAGGAGACGCACCATATGTTTTTGTTTTCATCTTCTGTATAACACAAAGGGAATGACAAACAATAGGTAAAACAACACTTTTAGAAATATACATTTCACATACAATTCCTGTTTTCCAATGTTCCCCAAAACATGTTTTCTGCTCTGTATTATTCCAGTGTTCACAAAAATATGTCTTCTGCTTTATATTTTGTTTCCCAAAGAGCGGAGTTGAATTGGGATGGGGGTTGTTTAAGGTATATACTTAAAAAGAGTTGGGCAGCCCTGGATACTCATGTTATTACGTGAAAATATGGAAGTTGAGATTTTTCTTTTGACCAGCACTTCTCAATCCAATTCTGAAGTCACATTTGTTGTTTTAAATTTAGATTGAGATTTCTAATTGAGCATAATTTGTTAACTCATAAACTGCTGTTGGTTGCTGAATGTGAAATTGAGACATTCCTACCTTTGTTACTGCAGGTTACCAAGCAATTAGAGTGGTGTGTCAGTGTTGTAAATCCTAGCCACTGGTAGTGTGTGCAGGATGTCTTTCATATGTTTCTCCGGGAAAGTGGTAAAATCTCTTGGCTGGCAATCTGTAGCGCTTTCTCCTAGGTCTTCTTGTGATGGGAATTAACATCTTCCTTTTTGCCAGTGGTTTCTTAACACGAGTATGATATACTTGGTATCAGGATCCATAACAAAACTTGTAAATCCTGAATTCTTAAGGATCAATGAGAGGATGCTGTAGTGGATATGTAAGAAGTTAAACCTTTTGCTAATGGTTTGACAATTCACCTGGGGTCCATCTCCTCAATGAGAGCTGAATGCTCTCTGCATTTAGCTAGGCCTGGCAGTGAAGGGCTTAGCTGATTGAATAAGAGCAATCAGCTGGCCAGGCACAACAGAGTTTAGTATAAGAAAGCTGCCAGACGCTCCCTGCCATTTTGTCCTAGTATTACTGAAAGACAGCTCTTGATAAGGGTGTAAAGTTCTTTAATTGGCTTTTGCTGTAGATCTAGATATCTTGTTGTGCAATAATTTCAAACCACATTCAAATGCTGGTCTCTTAAGCAGTAACTACTAGCTTTTGTGATTTAAAATACATTATATATATATATATATATATATATATATATATATAATCTCCTCCCCCCCCTTTTTTTTTTTATTTTCTTTCTTTTTTCTTTCTCAGTCTCAAGAGAAGTCATATAAACACTGATTTATCATGGGTAACCAGGACAAGGGCAATGACATAGTATACCCAATACCCGCACATTACTGTTTACAGTTTATTGTGTAAATAGCAGTCGACGTTGCTTATATTGAAACATTTATATGGGACTTTAGTTTTTGTCACAGTAGGTTTTCAACTGGAAAGTATGAAATTATTTAAAATATTACTTTCTAGCACCATGCAAGAAAGATATACATTGCATAAATATATTAGGTATTTGTTTTCTATGTGTATTTTGTTGTTTTTTTCTTTCTGATTTCGTCATTGAAGCCTTGTGTGTTTCCTTCAAAAGAGCACTTTATTGTTTGTTTTTTTGTTTGTTTTTATTGGAGATATTTTTTGTTTTGTATTAATATCTTTGTGTTAATTTGCCCTTCTTGTAGCTTGCTGATTTTCATGCCGTTGCCCTTTTTTTCATAAAATCTGTTTTGCTTCTATTTAGCAAAGCAATAATGAATTTTAATCATAAACCATATCCTTAAATGCAAAGTCCTCCCCCCTTCTTTTTCTTACTTACATTGTTTTCAGTGTTATGCTTTGCCTGAGACTGGCCTACAAACAAACTTGATACAGGAGATTTGGAGCTTGCAGGTTACGCTTTCTACCTTTAATGTGTAATTGGTGAAACTGTAGCCAATATGTTGGTTTTATTGGTGAAGGAATTGTTGGATATGTAAGTTGTTTTCTTCCTTTAAGACTTGCATAGAGAACAAAACAGCTTTGCTAATAATGTTTAATAAATCCTCCTCCTACCTATTGTCTAAATTCTGGCCTGAAGCATGTTTTGTATTCAGGAGAACATACTTAAAAATGCACTGTGGTGGAATAAACTGGTGTCCTACTATTTTAGCTTGGCTCATCTAATGTACTGCTGCTGGGTATTGGTAATGTGATCCAGTGCCACCTAAGGGGCAGAGTTTGTGTTATCCTGATTTTGTATTGTAATTGGAAACAGGGTTATGACAGGTGAATTTCAAAATTTAGGCCACATTAGCCAAGCTGGAAAAACAGTTACATTGGATAATTTTTCCGATTTTTGGATATTTTTGCCTAAATTTCAAAATTCTGTGGTCCTAATTATTCTGTTTTTTTGTTTGGCGATAGCCTGCGATTTTTTTTTTTAATGGTGATCCTTTATTGCATGCTGTACATCTTTAGTATGCACTATATAAACTAAATGGGATGTGGTGTGGTTTTTTTTTTTCTATTAGTCGACTACCTGAAGTATGCTAAACTTTAAGCATTTCTTAATTCCATTTACGATCTTCTCTATGTTTTGAATGTTTGTTTCATCATGAGGAAAACTCCAAAGTACCATAACCACTACCTGCACACAATAGTGGTGGTAGTGCTAGCAGTGCCTTGGCTCTCCCTGTAGTAAGCTGTAAAACATATATTTTCTTTTCCCTGGGATCTGCAAGACAACACACCCAGATTCCATTTCTTCCGACAAAGAGCTAGAAGATCCGAAGCAGGAGCTTCTGTTGGCTGTCCTAAACTAAACCCTGTTCTGCAAGCCTTGGCTCAGAGCATCTGGGGTGAGGCGCCTGGCATACCCCAGCTGAGCCGTCAAATCGTTCTAAAATGATATGACTACTTGCAGGAAGGAGGGGGGGGATTATGATGTTGGAGTGTCTGTTTAAGCTTTTTTACTTTTCATATTATTTCTCCACCCCCTGTCGTGTTCCATACTTTTTTAATACTCAGGTATAATATAACAGCTGTGTACCAAAGCATTTTTAGCTTAACTGAAATCAAATCTAGTTTCTGTGCTCAGTAGAAAGCAATCGTGGCTAATTCTGATTTTTAGGTTTTTTTTGTTTTTTGTTTTTCTTCCAAGCACTTATCAGTTACATTGTAACACTACCATGTAGTTAAATAGCAAAATGTGTTCAGTAAAATGAAAAAAAAATGTAAGCTTTTTAACATTGTCTTAGTTGTTGTTCTCCCTTGTTTGTCAGTTGTGGAATAGAAATTTACTGATTTCTGAGTTTGAATGGTAGCACGTCTTCATTTATTTAGCCACAAGAAAAGACTAGTATTTATTTGTAGGAACACCTCTTGTAAACTAATCAGTCTCTCGGAAGATGTCTTACACCAGAACTAGATTGTACTCCAAACTAGTACTTGAGCATCATGGGAAATATATAGCACTGTGGCTGACCCAAGGTGTCTGGGAACTATAAGAGCATGTGAGCAGATTCACACAGTTCTCTATAAAAATGTAGTCTCTGGAAGGGTCAGCAATGTTTAGTCCTACTTTCCAGCACTCAAAGGAATTAACATATGCATCAGAACATATTGTTGATCTGTAATCCTACATTAATTGGTCTCTGATAACTCCTTGAGTAAGTGTATGTGAACATAAAGTATATAAACTGCACGAGAGTCATTTAATAACCAATTTATTTTGCTATTGCCAGCAATTCAACTAAGTTTTGTTTTGATTTTTATTATCCTCCTCTGGTGTTTGTTTTAGATTTCAGTAACAAAAATAGCACTTTATTATATTGACACTTTTTCAAGTAAAACGGACAAGCATTTCAAAGTATGCACCTATCAGAACCTTTTGCCCTTTATATTTTAAAATAGTTATGGGAAATGTATCAATAGCTGTTCCAGTTTTTGTGTTCTATCAATAGCTTAAGGGCTTTGTCTTTGTTCATTTTAAAGGAAGAATTAAACTCCAAACTAAACTAGGATCTACAGTGTACGTAATGGTTCATATCATTCAATATAACTCTTGTATTCTCTAAGTAATAGTATGGTTTAGTATACCTCATACTGACTCCTGTTCTGTTTGTCGTTCTCAATCATAATACAGGCCATCCTTTAACTAGCTTCTGACCAATGCATGATATGTTTTACATATCTCATGGTATTAAAGAATTTATTTTTCTTTCTATTAACTCATCTGAAATGTGTAGTTACCATTATGAACTACATTGTGGAATTGACTACATTACAAGAAGAAGATTAGCCTTTCATTTAGAAGTGTACCATTTTTTTGCTCAAGGCAGCTGTATGTGTTTTTGGTAGAATGAACTCTGTAAATGTGGTTGTTTCCTTTATCTTTGGGTATCGTAATGTTCACAGATATATCCAGTCCTGGCACCATCATGTCTGTAAATTGTACTGTCTGTGTATTTGTTGGTTAAGTAATTGGGAGCTGGAAGTCATGACTAGAGGTTCACTAAACAAGGTCATTGTTTATGTACAACGGGAACATTTCCATCCAGTACCTTTTGATATATGTATCTTTGGGCATATTATTCAGCCCCTGGTTTGAGAACTGTAACTGCAAATACATGTCGTATTAGACCACTTTGTGGAATAACAAAAACCTGCCCTTAAGTAACACTAGTTGAATGAATGTAGTGTACACTCTGTCTACATCACTTGCAAGGAAATCAATTTATCCACCAGTCATAAAACGGAACACTTATCAGATAACTGATAATATAGGATCATAAGCCATCTCGATAAATTTATCCAGAATGGTCTATTATGCATTACTGCTGGTCAGCAATGCAGGACAGAGTCATGTAGAACATATACAAATGGCTAATCTATGGTATACAAACATTCCTAAACAGTTAGTGATATTTAGGGTCAGGTTTTAGAAACATGTAATCTAAAGCAGGGCTTAACAAACTTTGGTAAATAGGTAGGGGGAAATATTACCGCTGGCACCATACTTTCCTCACTGCATTATACAGATGTCTGTGCTTCTAGCCCTTCCCTGGCTCTCAAAATCAAGCTGGATTTTAAAAATTGGTCTTACCTGCTGTCTAAATTGTGCAAATAACTGTCAACATCGGATGTAAGGATTGTTCTTTCACAACTTTACTCCAAACTGGTCCTACAACACTGCAGCACTGTTTGCTAATACCTAACTCTTCAACAGCCAGAATTTATTTGAGACTTCGTCTTGAGATTTGCACTAAGTAACCGATGGAAGCAGTCTCTTGGAATTGTAAATGTACGATCTACATATGCTCTTTTATTTACTTTGCTGGTAAAATCAAGTCACAATCATTTTAATAGGGCAGCATTTATGGAAACTAATATGAGCCTTTGACTGCAAAACTTTCAAAGATATGTCCCTAATATTATCACCATGATCAAGGACTAAAATCTGACCCACCGTATGCCTTCATAGTAATTCTTGGCTTAAAATGCCATTGATTCCTTGTTCTCAGTCTATTTTGGGGTGTTCCACCTGGATTAAGCCTTGATTAAACACTGTAAAGGCAGTCTTATCTTTTTAATACTGTGTAACTGTTTTGCGAAGGTTTCTTGATTTATATTGCTTATTCTATTCTGAGCTTTTTCTTTCTAGCTGATCAGAAAAATAAACACTTCTTATACAATCAAAATAGATTTAAAAGGTAAGAGGTGAAATTAAAGCTTTTTTGGAGCAAGCCATATATCTACAGAATATAGTTTCTGTTGAGGTGCTGCTGTAGTCTAAGATAATCATAGTGAATATGTATGTTACGTTATATAACACATTCACCTGCCACACAGAATGTATAACAACTTTACTAACATGGTCATTGAGAATATTAGAAAAAACACTTTGTGATACATTTGTTACTTTACCTTGCATATAATTCTTCCAGTTTCCTTTTTTCTTTCTTTCTTCCTATTCTCACACACAACTGCCTTACTAAGCTAGTAAAAGGTGTTAAAGGTTTCACTTTTAGTATGGGCGCATAAAAGAATGAAAATAATTGTGGTGCTTTTACTGTATTCTACAGCTAAGTTGGCTTGCTCCTGAACACTAGCAAAATGTCATCATTTGTGCTGTTTCGGTATTAAATGCTGCCCTAGAAAGGTAAAGGTCAGGCGTAGCCAGTCTGTAGCTGTCTAGCTTTTATTAAACTATGATTTCCATGGTCCGCATTAAAGCACTTGTAGTTGTAAAGGCTTGACACATTCAGATTGGTTACCCCTGCTGCAATTTGTGTACTTTAAACCTAGAACTGCTTGTGGTCTCATTAAAGATAGTAGTGTAGGGAGGGGACCATTCAATTCTAGAGGTAAAGATTTGCACTAGCAATGCAATTTTTATATATACTTACCCTGTTTAAGTACAGTGTTTTTTTGTTTTTTTATTTTGTGATTCTGACAATGTTCACTGCAATCAGAATATCTCATTTTGTTACCTTTTTGACTTGATAGAGCTGAATATGTTAAAATAAAAATGTTTAATTCCTGTATTTGTGTGTGGTGTTTTATTAAATTTTTTACATCTATTTGTTTTTGTTATACTATTGCTAATGATTTGTTGTGTTGTCAGATTTTTCTTAAATGGGTGCAGGGACTTGCAGCCTTGTGGAACAGTTCCTAGGATCCGATTTTCTTCCATATCCAAAATGTGGCAGCTGCCTCCATCACTTTCTAAAAAGGTGTTTTTTTTTTTTTTGTTTTTTTTTCTCTTGGAGGTTCAGATACAAACAAAGGCAAAGGCAAATTTAAAAAACAAACAAAAAAAACCATAAAAATATTGCATTTGCGATTCCAATTTTCTACTTTAATTTACTATATCTCCTTTTAATAATCTTTTCAAAATGATTCTCCATAATAAGAGGATGTATTATTCCCTCCGCAGCTTTGTTTACATTTTTTTGTCCCTGTAAAGCATTGCAGTTTAGAGAAACTGCAATGTTTACATTGCAGTACTAAGAAAGCCTGTAGTGGCTGTCTACCATGAGGACATCCTGCATCAGTGAAATCTCCATAGGAAAGTATTAAGACAATGCGCATGCGCATTATGCCCCCCAGTTGTAAGAGGCGGAGCTGTTCAGTGTATTTTGCCATTAATCTATAACCAAGCTATGAACAGTAACAACATTGAAAACCCCAAACAGGTGAGGTGAAAAACATTGATTATATTGTTACAGGATGAACTCTGGGCAGGGACGTTTGTTACAATGGCACTTTCAAGCAGTTATATTAGGCAGCAAGTGAACAGTCCATTTTTGAATTTCATGTGCTGGAAGCAGGAAAAATGGACAAGAGAAATTATCTGAGTGGCTTTGACAAGGGCCAAACTGTGATGGATAGACGACTAGGTCAGAGCATTTCCAAAATGGCAAATCTTGTGGGGGTGTTCCTGGTATGCAGTGGTCAGTACCTACCAAAAGTGGTGCAAGAAAGAATAACCGGTGAACCGGCATTAGTGTCATGGTGCTCAAGGCTCACTGATGCACGTGTGGAGCACAGGCTTGCCAGTCTGGTCCAATCACACAGAGGGCTACTGTAGCTCAAATTGCTTTAAAACAATGCTGGCCATGATAGAAAGGTGTCAGAACACACAGTGCAAGGATGAACCCAGTCCTTCGTTTAAGGCCCCTTCAATGGGAACTTGAGCGTCCGAATTGGACAATGGATCAAGGGAAGGTAGCTGACCGGTCTGATGAATAATGTTTTTCTTTTAGACCAGGTGGATGGCTGGGTGTATGTGTGTCGTTTACCTGGAGAAAAGATGGCAGCAGGATGCACTATGGAAAGATGGCCGGCATTCCCAAGATCTCAATCTAATTGAGCATCTGTGGAATGTGCTGGAACAACAAATCCAATACATGGATGCCCCACCCATGTCTTGGAGCCAGATACCACCGGGCACATTCAGAGGTCTTTTGGAATCCATGCCTCAATGCATCAGAGCTGTATTGGCAGCACAAGTGGACCTAAACAATGTTAGGCAGGTAGTTTGTTGGTATGTTGTATGTGTGATTGATCAGTTAAAAGTGTGCATATTGTATAAATTGCCGCTTACTTTTCTTTTGTGGGTTTTTTTATTTATTTTTTTATAGTCACTTAAACATTAAGTTTTTCCTTTTGTACAAAGACAATACATTTTTATAAAACATATACAGTATATAAATTTAGTTAGGATAGAATGTACATGTTCTCATCTTTTTAGATATTATTGCAGTAAATAAGAAAAACAAAACACTTGTAGAGAGAATTATATAGCGAGATAAGAGGGGAAACATAAGGAGCATCAAGACCGATCTATCTATATAGTCCCAATTGTCTCATATCATCTTAATCCTTCCCATTACCAATCTACTGAAGTCCAAGTATATAGTTGAAATGTTATGCATTCTGGCTGGGACCATGTACCACCTATATATTATCTTCAGATGTAGTTCACAAAGTGGTACACTATGTATGCAACGAATGACTGACCTTGTAGCTTTAGTCCAAACCAAAAGAGGAAGAATTTTCCCAAGATCACGTTCCCATTTCATAAATGGGGCTATTTGGGACTCCTGTTCCATTGAATTTAACAATTGAATGGATTTAGAAATCAGTAGACATGTGCAATTCCTTATTTGGTAATTATTTAGAATTTTGGGCAATTCGATGCTTCTGAAGTGTCGAATTGCCGAAGTCCCGAATTTCGGAAGTGCCAAAGTGCATCGGTTTTCTGAAAAGTGGCAAAACAAGAGAGGGAGGGAAAATTACGTGAATGATGTTGGGTAAGGATACGGTTGGCTTAGGATTATGTTAGGGGTAGGGTAAAGGTAGGGTAGGATTAGGGAGCCCTACATATTTTCTGAATTGCCGAACCGAACCAAAGTCCTGAAGTGCCGAATTTTTTTTCTTACCTGAATTTCCGAACCAAACCGAATTTTTGGATCATTCACATCCCTAGAAATCATTCCCTTGGTTTTAAGTAAAGTTATAAAAGGGTCTATGTAACAGATCACATGGCACCCCGACTGGGTAACTCTGTTGAATGATGCTCCTAGCGCTTTCTGAGGACTCCAAGCACTGCAGCAGACACCACAACCACCGAACCGGAGAAGCATACAAATGCTCTCAGGCATATGAATGCTGTAAGCAGCTGAACAGGAAAAACATACAATCAGCTTACACTCCTGGCAATCAGCATACAATCCAATTCCCCCAATAACGAGACTACACTTCGTTTTGAGGTCAAGCAGAACTGACTGGACTGGCACATACAGCCTCTTTTATTCACAATCCACAAATATAGTACTGCCCACAGGGTTTTGAAACACAGCCAATCAATCCGTACAATACACACAGACACTCCCACACAAAATCCTCCCCTCTGCCTGTGATATGATTACTGAACACAATGGTTAATGTAATTATCACAGACAGAGAAATACAGTATTATAAAACACATCACAGGGACCCCAAAACATGCAATAACCCCATAAAAATATATCATTGGAACCGGGGGATCTGGGTGAACCACATATCCAAAATTCAACCAGATCCGTTCAGTACTTTGGAAGATACAGTTTAATGCAGATTCCACAGAACATATGCAGGCTAAATGAAAAACAATTACTGTATAATGTGTACCCTGTTGTATAGTCCAAAACCACTGCACGATGTCTCTGTGCACCAAATACCGTCGAGATGGCACCGTGTTGAAAAGTCCAAACAGTGTCTGTGAGTTAAAATGGCCGCCATCCATTGTTCTCACCGTGTGCCTCTGATACATGAAATGGTGGCCACCCAGTAACTCCACAGTATGTCCACAGATGGTTCTTAAAGGGCCAGCAGCAGCACAACACAAATCCATTATGCCCAAATCATGTCTTGAAAGGGCAATACATCCCAGGGGCCATAGTCACATGGCAGGAGGCTGGCAATCAGTCTTCTCCACTGCCCAGTGGCGAGGTCGGTTTCGCCACAGTCTATATTGTGCTTCTATAATATTGCTTTGGTTGAAGTGAAATTTTTATTTCTCAGGTATTAAAAGAGCTCCTTAGAAGGAAGATTATATTTTATCTGTAACTGTGTGAATGAAATAAAACTATTCATATGGCATATGTCCCAATACCATGTTGAGTCCATATTTGAACATTTATATCCTCCATTACATACTGTAGCATCTCTATCAGGGTGTTAAGAACTAATTTATCCTGTAGTTTTTATTTTCTACTACAGATTCTAGCTGTATCTAAGACATCTATATGTATTTTATTAGAAAAAACATTGATATCCAACTTCCCCATCTTTAGAATACTAATCTAAAATAAAATATCTAATTTATATCTGAGACTGTCTTCCTGTTCTAGAATGGACCATGACTGATTTTCATTTTGTGAATTCAACCACATAGATAAATGTGATAACATACTCGCTTCATGAAGTTTGAAGACACCTGGGAAGGATATGCCTCCTTTTACATAGCTTTTCTGCAGAATAGAGTGAGATATCCTAGGCGGCCTATATAGCCAAATAAATTTAGAAAGTATCTTTTGAAACTGACCTAGAATACTATTCCTTACTCTATAGGCTATAGCCCTATAATAATACAATAACTTTGGTAGTAGAAATGCTTTGGTCAAATTTAATATGCCTATCCAAGAGGCCTCTATCCAGGGCCGTCTTTAATATTGATTGGACCCTGGGCAAGCATCTGCTTGGGCCCCCTGGGCATGCAATCACTCCCTCCACCCCAACCTAGAGGCGAAACTAATGTAGAGAGTGCCTTGGTGCAAAAAATAATAATAATTCAGGCCTGCCCTGTAGCACAAGAGTAAAGAAAAGATAGATCCCCATCTGTCATACAACTCCTGCGATGCTATGCCAGGTGGGGATCTACCATCCTTGCAGGGTTGTATTTTTGAGCAGTGTTTGTGCAATTGAATGTCAGCATGTTATTGTATAGAGTGTATGTGTGCATGTAGGGGTGTATTTGTATGTACTGTTACCATTGGAATGCAGTGGTGTACTTGTGTGTAGTGTTTGCGTTTGAATGCAGTAATGTGTGATTGTCTGTAGTGTTGGCTTTTAAATGCAGGTGTACTTTTGTGTGTATAGTTGGTGTTTGTATATAATTTTAGCGTTTTAATACAGGAATGTGTTTGTATGTAATGTTTGTATTTGCATGCAGGGGGTTGTTTGGATGTAGTGTTGTGTACATTTGTGTGTAGTATTGGTGTTTCAGCAAACTGGTGTGTTTGTATGTAATGTTTGTGTTTGCAGGGCTCTGTTTGCATGTTGTGTGATTTTTATAACACATATACACATACACATTAACACGCAGATACACACATAGGCACACTGACACATGCTCACACCTTGACACATACTGGCACATACACACACACACTCAGATACACACCCTTTGACACACAGATACAAGCACTTTGATACACACACACACACACACACACTGGCACATCCACACACAGAGGTACACACACACACACTGACACAG